GTGGCGTCCAGAGAGCCCACCCCGCCAAGATCATCCTCGCAGCTGATCGCCTTGTACGCGATAGTAGCCCTGCTTCTCGCTACACTACCGTCGGTTTCTACACCAGCGTTAATTATTACACTACTGCTACTTCCCATACTGGCGATGCTTTGTTCAGGCGAAATGTAGCTGGTAACGATCTGACGACCAGTCTCTGGCCTCCACGTGTCACTGCTAGTATACTCGTTACGTCTCGTCTTTGCACTGCTATCGAGTGCTTCAGTAACGAGAGATACAGTGTAGCTGTTATTTCGATGCAGAACCGCGGGACGATTGAAAGAGGAGGATGACGAAAACGCAGTAAGAGCTTCGGAGACAGCAGCTCCTTGTATGACAAACGAACCTCCTATAACGAGTATGGCGAGCAGCGAGAAGATATGCACCGGCCATAGACGCAAAAAACGACCCGATGAATTTAAAGGTAGCCGCGCAGAGCATACCCAGCCACGGCTCGCGAGGTTCGCGACGGGTAACCCGGCGAGGCGACCTGGCGACGCCTCTGTATGCCGGTCGCCCGGTGAGCACTCCCTAAAAGCAATGAATTCCATTCCGGAATTACGAAAGCCTCCTAATGTAATCTGCTTTCAAATCCAACTGTCTAGAATCGCCGCATGGTGGACGGATAGAATCCTCAAAACGAGCTAAACGAAGCAGCGTACGACAGAGGCCGCGAGAGTTACCCTATCGAAGCGTCACATGGCTTCAGGCATGGCTTTACTCGCGAATAGCAGACGAGGACGTCGCATGGCAGACGGTAAGGAACGCTAAAAGGAGACGAGTTGAGACCATAGCAATGGAGACTCCCAAGGCGAAGCGAATCTGCTAGTCCCATAAAAAGTGAATTCCCCAGGACCCCCTTCCCGCAGGAAGTACGCGATACAAGAGCGTTCCTACATATCACGCAGAGATACGGTAACTTTGACTTCACTTTACAGACAGTAGAAATCTCTATGGTTTCAAGGCGGATGAAAGAGCTAGTCATAAGCAACGGGTCATTCAACAATGGCATTCGCGTTTGTAATACCTAGGATTACTTATCAGCATAATTAGCACACTACCACATATAGAATATGGTAGATACCATATCTAAAATCCGGCCTCCATGCTCCATCCATAGCCCAATGGATGAGGCGCTGGTCAGAACCAGTAATTCTGGATTCGATCCCCAGTGGAGTCGAGATTTCTGTTACATGTAGGAGACTCTTGGAGGCATTCATTGGAGCCTTGCTGCCATGTGCTGCATGTACGCTTGTGACAATTGAACTTTTTGCTCCTGCGTATAAAAAATTCACATACCGTACAAAATTAACTGTCAATGACTGAAATCCAAAGGCCATGTCTGGATTGTTCATCTCATCCTTGATGCTCACCTGTAGATCTTTTATGAAATCCACCGCAATATGCAACAATGAAGCCATGTCAGTTCGAGAAGAGAAGTTCTTCAATTGCTTCTGACGCATCCACGATGCAGGGATGGCCTTCGCCAGCCGTTTGAATCCATCGCTGTAGAACAAGAAAAGTGACAAAACAGCACACTTGTTAGAATCTCAAATCAAGATGTGTCTGTGTACAATTAAAAAGTTTAGAGCACTGTTGTATTTACCTGACCCGGTGTCTTCTGAGCTTCTCTGTGACGCTTTTGCTGCGACCAGGCAGCTGCTGCAAGACTAGCCTTTTGCTGCCGCCCTTGTTCCTCCAGGTTGAATGTGCAAGCGGAGCTGGCTCGGCTGCCCTTCTTGAAGCCATTTCAGCGGCAGCAGCAGCAGGTGGAGGGCTCACAGCAGTAGAGCCAGCGATGACGGGAGCAGAAACAGAGGAACCAGGCGCATCAACCAAACCAGCACTAATCAATGGGTACGTTCCAGACATTATCCGAGCACTGCCGCCACTGTCACTGGTAGCGCTGGTAGCTGCAATCAGTGAGCCTGTTCCCATACTGCTGTCAGGGCTTTTGGTACCCAGTCCTTCACCCACCAAGCGCTGCCTTATCCGAGGTCGCATGGCCAGGACCTCAGCAATCAAATCTTCGTTGCACCAGCTGGACAAGCCCTTGCGCTTGAACCTCCCCGACAAAATCATATCGCACAGCATTCCATCATGCGTTGCTGCTAGGGTGTTCCTTCTGGGAGACAACAGGGTTCCATCGTGGGTGTGGCCTCCTGGCGCGTGTGTCCGAGCTTCTCGAAGTGCTTCAAACTGCGTTCCACCATGCGCTGCTGGAATGTTACCATTCTTAACCAGGAGTCCAGCAGGACTGGCTCCTCCTGTACTGATAGGTTGTGTCAGCGCTGCTTGCGCTGGTCTCACGGGCAGCAGCTCCTCTTGGGGGAGACCATGAACTGGAGGGGACTGTGAAGTCGCTGCACTTGGCACAGTGCCTGGCCATGCAGCAGCAGTATCAGCAGCAGCAGCAGCAGCAGCAGCAGCAGAAGCAGCTGAAGTGTTCACCGCTAAATGTCTCCTCTGATGAGCTGAAACAGGAGCTGGAACCGCAGCTACTGCCATCGTCGGTGCGAAAATCTGACCAGTTAGCGAGGGCTGAGTCAGCATGCTGACACGACCTCCGCCTGAGGGCATGCTGGGAATTGTCAGGGCTTCCTCGCGGAGTGATTCGGCCTCACGAATTGACGCGATGAGGCTCGTCCAGCCTTCCACTGAAAAGCCTTCCCTTGGGACTGAACCACTGAGGGTTGATTCCGCCATGCTGTTCGCTGTGCAAGGAACCACAGGCAGCGAACCCATGCCGGGATTGAACGTCAACTCGTCCGCGCAGGCTCCCATCAGCACTGGAGCACAAGATTCAGTTGCTCCCACGTTCCGCTGCGCCTTCCCTCCAGTTTCCTGCACCTTCCAGGAGATGTGCACTCCGTCGCAGTCTGCAGCGCACTCCAACGAGCAGCGGAAGTCAAGAAAGGGCAGCGGGACATTACTAGGGAGCTCCATAGTAAGGAAAAGTGGCAAGCGGAATTTCTTGTCCACCTGAAGAAACGAAGGGAAATGGACCCGAAAGGTCTCTCTCGGCTAGCAACAACAGGTAGAAACAGGCCTCTGAAAATGACAGATCCAAGGAAACCTTCGAACTATAATGCAGTCGTTGAGTTCAAGCGGTGTCCAGGATGTTCATGCGTCACTCCAGGTCTGTTTGCTCATACGCTTGCACGCCGCACTCTCCCATACTCATGTGGACCATATAGCTGGGATGGGATCAGTTCCAGTAAGAAACTGTACGCGATTTGTGAAATCTCGAGGTTGGAGGTCGAAATCTCGATCATCAGGGTGCCTGATGTTAACGATCTGACGGTGTCACGAGGTCGGGGTGCAATAAATGCTGAAAAGAGCTGCGGCGAGTACGATGCGGGAATACGACTACGAACGCCGAACCATCAGTGCGCCTGACGTTAGGAATTTTCTGCGTCGACCCAACAAATGATTCGACGTCATGGGTTCGACGGTTAATGAGGGCTGCGACGACGACGGAAATGATGTAGCCTTCTTTCTAAGCTTCAATTCGCGTTGACTGGGTAGTACAGCGGAAGGCTGCACGGGAGAGGAACCAAATCCCCATGGCTTTCTTGGAAGGAGCAGTCCAAGAAACGAGTGGTTCTTGCAGAACGAGATGCGGTGATTTGTGGATAAGATGAACTATTGCGAAATCTAATCAAGTAGTGTGGGGGCCTGGTTAACCCCCATTATAGCGTCATGCTCGGAGCGAGCGGTATGCTCGTATGCACATTAGAGTCTACACTGATCCCTCCTAGACGGTTTTCGGAGCAGATTCGGTATTTAGCGAACTCTGAAGCTACAGTACCTGAGACGAATATATTCGGGCATCAGGTTCATCAGGATTTTGAGCTTTTTCGCCAGCAATATACAAGATGCCCAACCCCTGCACGCGAAATTGCCTCGCACATTCCAGAAACCTTGCACACGAAGGTTTTTTCCCGGGCAGTTGCACCCACGTTACAAGCACGTCAACCAATACGAACCACAGAAACAGAAGAGACCGAAGTCAAACAGTCAACGGTGAGTTACAAAATTTTGCTATAAGCCCTTTTTGCCCGACGCGAATTGACGAAACCTCCACGAAATGCATGAATCACTTAAGCGCCCCCTTCACAAGGCAACATTGGGTTAGTCAAACGGACATCGTGTGTACCGGGTACTTCCTGCTGTCCGCTCAACGGCTCGTTTCAGAGGAGGCTATGCTCTCCCCCTCATGATTCTGTGCATCAGGCAGAACCCGCGAGACGCGCCAGGCGAAGTTAGTCCAGCCCAGCGACATTCCAGCTGGAGAAGCCGCAGTCGAATCACTGTACGAATCATGAAAGCTTGCCGGGTATGGCCGGGTAAAGCCACACAACGCCGAGGCACGAATGCAAGTCGACGGCTTTACGACACAGTAATTTCTGACCCCTCAGGCTCAAGTAACGACTGCACTACGCGTGCTACAGCAACCACCGCATTGCTTGCCAGACGAATGACGAGAGATGAAGGCCAGGAAAGGCAGGAAAAGAAGCAGCTGAAGAGGAACAGGATGGTTAGAGGGGACGCTGTTACCATCTCAAGCTCGCCCAGTCTTCGTTAGAGGGGACGCTGGTCATAGGGGTCACTTGCACCGTTCTGACAACAAGTTCTTGACGCGTATAATCTTTACGAAAGCTTCTCAACACTGTGAGCCGTTCCCGACCCGACTCCACCATTGGTTCCCAATTGCAAGTCCTCTTCCAAAAGCGGGACCTTCGGGAGGAGTTCAGAAGCACACTATACTTCTGGACAGCGTAGTGAATTATTCAAAAATACTACTTGGTACAAATCTTGCATATATGATGCAATTCTTCTCTGGACTTTCCATCCCATAAGAACCATTCAGATCCCCGGCCAACAAAACAGCTTTCATGTGCCGGTAAATTAATCATACTTTATTCATATGTTGTATCCAATAAGCAAGAAAGTCTTGCTAGTCATTGCTGCGATTCTGACACTTGCTGAATGTAAGCTTGTGCAAGTTGGGCCTTTCGGTCCTGTATACCACCACAGTAGTGCAGAACGGGAATATCAGCAACTTAATGCAAAACAAGCACCAAATCATTACCGTGCATATGAAGTTGTCCTCACCTCCAACTCCCTAATGGAGTCAACTGCAGCATCCAACAGCGACGCCATGTCCGTTCGCGATGACATGTTTAACTGATGTTTCTGGCGCATCCACGTGGGTGGCAGAATCTTTTCAAGCCGCTTGAAGCCTGCACTGCAGAAAATGGAAGGTGGGAGTACACAGGGCAACCTTGTTAATCTTAGATGAACCCACTGAAATGAGCACGCTCAAACAATTTGTGCCAAGCTGTAATTACCTAATCCGGTGTCTTCTAAGCTTCTCGACAGCGTGTCGGCGATGAATAGGCGGCCGATCCAAGCCCAGCCCATTGCCACCCGCTTGGTCCCTCAGGCTTGTGTGTGCAGACTGTGCTGGCAGATCTGCCCCTTGTGTTGCTCCCAGAGCCGACCTTGTCGACAATGGATCCAACGACGCTGCCCTTTCCGTGGCAGCAGCAGGTGGACGGCTCACAGCAACAGAGCCGACAATGGCTGCAGTGGATCCAACGGCAGGGATCGGAGCAGGAAACTCCACTCTTGTCCTGGGCGGGTCTAGACCTATGATGTCGCATTGACTACCAAAAGCGAGCGATCCTGCGTTAGGCGTCCCACTGTGAGGGCCTTTTAAACCCAGTCCTCCATCACCACCCACCAGACATTGCGTTTTCCGAGGCTGCATGTTGGCTGGGGTCTCCGCAATCGAATCATCATCCCACCAGCTGGAAGAGCCCTTCCGCTTGAATCTTCCCGACACAATCATGTCGTACAGGGTTCCGTCACGGATTGCTGGGGTTCCATCACGGATTAGTGGTTGGGGCCCGCCTTGGGTGCTGCCTTCCAATCTTTGGGCTGGTGTTGCTTGCGCGTGCGCTGATCGTAACGACAGTGACGCTCCTTGTTCAAGAGACTGCAACTGCCAAGCTGCGATCGGCACAGCATCAGGCAATGCAGCAACAGCTGCGGCGGCGGTGGTGGCGGCAGCATGAGTGTTCAGCATGGAGTGGATCTGATTATAGACCGCAGCAGGCGGCGCCGCCATAGAATGTTGAGGCGGCTCGCGATTGGGCAATGAAGCAGCAGCTGAATTCATCACCACCGAATGAATCTCATCATGGGTCGAAACACGCGAGGGTGAAGCAGCTGTTGTTGTCATCTGTGTGAAACCCTGACCTGGCAGGGACGGCTGAGTCAGCATGCTGACGTGTCCCCCGCAGCCGTGTGAGATGCTGACATGTGTCAGGGCTCGGACATGGAGCTGTTGGGACTCAGAGATCGACGGCATGAAATCAGGCCAGCCTTCCACCTTGAACGAATCACCGAGCACTGACTCCATAGCCATGCTGTTCGTGCCAGAGGAAATCACTGGCAGAGGCAGCAACGAATGATCCGTACAGCTGGACGTCACAATCTGTTCGTCCGCCGCCTGGGCTCCCATGGACAATGCAGCGCATTTGCTGCTGCTAGTACCCACGGGTTCCCATCCAGTTGCTCCCGCGATTTCTTGCACCTTCCAGGGGATGTGGACTCCGTCGCAGTCTGCAGCGCACTCTGGCGAGCAGTGCAAGTCAAGAAAAGGCAGCGGCAGGGTAGGGAGCTCCATGGCTGTGGTGAACGTCAAAGGACTGAACAGACGGTCTGGCTGATTACCAAAAGAAAAAGAAGGAAGGAAAGAATAAAGACAACAAACTACAATATCGAGTTGTCTATCAGGGAACAGTTGAAGACGCTGACTAGAAAGGCACTCACCACTTCTAGAAGTACTGTTGTAGGGAGGAGGGGAGGGGGGGGGGGGGGGGGGGGGGGGGGGGGGGGGGGGGGGGTCGGGGTCCTAACAATCACAACGTCTGAGAAATTGTTTGGGAGTCGGAGAGCCGCCGCTGCGAAGATTGTCGTCACGACGCAGATGGTATGCTGCTGCTGGGACTACGCGATGCCCCTTGTTCGGCGTCGACGGGTCCATACCAGACCTTGGCCCGTCCATGTGCGTACTGCTGCCAGCAGGGATTAACCCAGTGATTATCATGCTGGCGGGGCGTACGAATGGACGCAAAGCCGCAATGTGGACCATTCGTGCGCCTGCGATTGCGACGATACTAGACTTCAAGTCTAGAAAGTTTCTAGTAGTAGCCGTTCCCTGGTCGTAGGGTCACAGTTCTCCGTGATTTTGTCGTACCCACGTACGCGCTGACATCACATCACATGATATGCGATGTGAGCCAACGCATCCGGACAGACTTTTAAGGAAAGTACAGAAGCTGGATTGGATACCTACTTGTGCTATCCACATCGCGAAAATGTTTGGCCTCAAATTTGGCCCTCTGTAGGTTTTTCTCCCGAAAAGTACCCGAAAAGTTCCAACGAGCTCCGAAAACCTAACCGCACACTCCGTAACATTTTTGTGTCTCCTCTCTGCATACATAAAAGTCATTGCAGAGTCACATCTAGCGACACACGCACAAATTTGGGCTCGAATTGCGCGATTCGACCAAGTTTTCGATGCCGCGGTCCGAATACAGCACATTCGGATTCCGATACGCGACACTGGTGACTCATTAAACAACCACTGTACCAATTGCGGCCACTTTTGTGGGTCTAATGTATAGCTCTAACAAGGTTTAGACTCTTGTTAGGTAGTGATCACGAGGCATGCGAAGCAACCCGAACACTAGCGAAAAAAAATAGACGGGGAAACAGATTTCGTGAATGTCGTAAAAACCGAATCTAGTTGATTCCATCAAATACGGATGGCAGCTATGCATCGGACTCAACAGTGACATATTTCAGAATCACTAGGCAAGAATGATGAACTAGCAGAAGTTTGGGTACAAATATGAAACCCTAGTTGGGGTTGTACCCCATATTGGCTACCCCACTACAGCCTACAAGCATAATACAGTTTAACACACCCCCATAGGCAAAGTGGGGGAGAACAAAGGGTCACAAGACCAGTCCAGCAAAGCAAAGCAAAGCCCAGGGTGGATCACAACGTCACCACACTCCGAGCACAAGTAAAGGCCACAAGGCCAGTTCACATGCAGTGCTAGATATAGTACAAGACAAGCAACACAGTGATCAAAACCTAGCAAGCAAGCAACAAGATATATATAAAGTACAGTACAAAGAATGTCAAGCAGTGAGCAAGTGAGGAAACGTGGACACAAGGCCTAAAGAAGTACAGTGCCGCTGATGATCACTAGGCGGGAGCGCCTTGGTGAAGATATCAGCAGTGTTGGCCTTCGAGTCCACGTACACAAGCCGAAGCTGACCGCGCTGCTGAAGCTCCCGAGCAAGAAAGTAGCGAAGAGCAATGTGCTTCGTCCTGTGCTCCAGTCTGTGCTCCTGACACAAGGCAAGAGCCGCCTTGTTGTCACCGTACAGAACTGGAGGAGAACTAGGCCGCTCTCCCAAGTCAGTCAGCAGGTAGGTGAGCCAGCGTAACTCCTGTGCAGCCATGGCTGTGGCGTAGATCTCAGCCTCACAACTAGAGCCGAGAACAGAGGAAGAGCGGGTGGACCGCCACGAGACAGAACCTGAGCCAAGGCTGAAGGTGTAACCCTGTGACGACCGCTGCGTAGCCAGGTCGTCCACCCAAGAGGCGTCCGAGTGACCAGTGAGGACAACTCTGTCGCGTCCTCCAAGCACCAGCCCCATGCCTGATGTACTGCACAGGTAACGCAGCACCCTCTTAGCAGCCTCCCAGTGCTCTCGCCTGTGTCTCCCAGGCGCAACGTAACGAGCAAGGATGCTAAGAGGGTACGCGAGGTCAGGTCGCGTGCAAGTCATCAGGTACATGAGGCAGCCTACAAGCTCTGGGTATGGGCCACTCGGCTCTACGGACTCGTCCGAAGGTGGAGCTGAGAGCGAGTGGCTGGTAGCCTGAGGTGTGGCCTGTGGTGAGGAGAACTGGAAGCCGAAGCGCTGAAGGACCTGCTGCACCATGTGTGACTGAGTCAGGGTGATGGTGCGGCGAGCTCTGTCCCGGGTGATCTGCAAGCCAAGGTAGCTACGCAGTTCACCCAGGTCAGTGCAGGTGTGTCTCTTCTGCAGCTCCGACTTCACACGAGCGAGTGCCTCAGTGTCAGCAGTAGCAAAGACCAAGTCGTCGACGTACACGAGGATGTAGAACGGCGGCAGCGACGTGTCTGTGCGCAGAAACAGCGACGGGTCAGCAGTAGACGGCGCGAACCCAAGAGCCGCAAGAGTAGTCCTCAGTGTGTCGTGCCACTCACGTGGCGCCTGGCGGAGACCGTAGACTGGCCGGCGGAGACTCCACTGGGTACCAGGGGGAAACGACCCAGTAAAGCCAGGTGGGCGGCGCAGCCAGATCTCCTCGTGCAGGCTGCCCTGCAGGAACGCTGTGCTGAAGTCAAGAGAGTGAAGCTCGTAGTCACGCTGAGCAGCAACGTGCAGCAGAACCCGAAGAGTGGTCATCTTCGGGGTGGGGGAGAAGGTCTGGAAGAAGTCGACCCCCTGACGCTGACTGAAGCCTCTAGCAACGTAACGAGCCTTGAAGACAGGCGGAGAACCTGGCGGCCGCTTCACCCTGAAAATCCACATGCCATCGACGATGTTCGCCCCAGGAGGGGGAACCTCGTCGACGTAGGTGCCTGTGGACTTTCAGGATGCCATCTCTGCGTCCATGGCTGTCTGCCACTGAGAGGAGTAGGGACCCGAGATCGCCTCTGCGTAAGTGCGCGGAGTGGGGATGTCTACTGCATCCGGGTCTCCCTCAGGGGCAAGCAACCAGGCCACGAGATGAGGTACAGCAGCCGCAAGCGAGTCAAAGTCCTCCTGCCTGTCCTCAAGGACGTCCGTGCCAAGAGCACACTCACCCCCGATGGACGGAGGACAGACAGACGCAGACTCTCACTCAGCGACAAGGCTAGCAGCGTAGTCTAGACGACAGGCAGCAGCAAAGTCAACCAACTCAGCGACCAGAGCAGACGCAGCCGAGGACTCAAAGGTTGGGTCAATGACAACAGTAGCAAGGAGACGCGTGACGGTCAGACTCAGGGTCCGGAACGGCAGGCAAAGAGGACGCAGGAGGAGACGGTAGAGGGACACGCCGAGGAGCAGTAGAGGGACGCAGAGTCATGTAGTGAGTGCCTGGGACAGGAGGAGGACGCTCACGACGGACACGACTACCAGTGCGAGCAGGACGAACAGGCGACGCAGGACGAGACTCAGGCTCACGACGCTCTGTAAGACCTCCTGTGGGACCAGTATAAGGAGAGGGAGCAGGGAGAGGCGAGGCAGGCGGTAACTGTGACTGCGGCTGGACAGGCGGAGGACACTCTACGGAGGGAGGAGGACAAGGAGGAGGAGCCTGCCCAAGAACCTGCTGAAGGAGCGGTACGAAGTACGGTCGCGGCCGCGCAGCGTCTCCAGAAGCAGACGGGACTCCAGCGGCCGGGTCCTCAGCACCAGTAGCAGCTCCACCGTCCGACTCCTCAGCACCAGCAGCAGCTCCACCAGGTGGGTCCGCAGCACCAGCCGCAGCGCCACCCCCAGAGTCGGCAGCTCCAACTCCGCTAGCACCGCCAGCGCCAGAGTCCCCAGCTCCAGCAGCTCCAGTCACAGTGCTCCCAGAACAGCCAGTCCCGGCAGCTCCAGTACCCCCAGTACGAGCACCCCCAGGACGAGCAGCTCCAGCACCCCAAACTCCAGCCGAGCCACTAGGACGGCGAAAGCGTCGGACGTACCAGTCGCGAAGCTGCTGCGGTGTGAGAGACTGCTCAGCACCCCGAACCGGAGCACCCCCAGACGCAGTAACCCGAGGCTCCGTAGGCTCAGTAGCAGCACCCCCAGGCTCAGTACCCGTAGGCTCAGTACCCGCAGGCTCAGCACCCCCAGTCGCAGCAACCCCAGGCGGCAAACTCTCAGGCACAGTACCCTCAGCTCCAGCACCCGCAGTCCCAGCACTCCCAGGCCCCGCACCCGCAGACTCAGCACCCCCAGGCGCAGCACCCCCAGGCTCCATACTCTCAGGCACCGTACCCTCAACTCCAGCACCCTCAGTCCCAGCACCTGCAGCCCCAGCACCCCCAGGCCCAGCACCCCCAGGCTCAGCACCCCCAGGCTCAGCACTCCCAGCAACACCACCCGCAGCAGCACCTGAGTCACCTGTGACCTCGACAGGCTCAGCGACGGGAGGAGGGTCTACCTGAGAGACACCTGAAGGAGCAGGACCCTGAGGGGGAAGGGGGTCTACCGGAGGGGGACCAGGAGCAAGGAAAAGCGGCGGGGGAGGGAGGGGGGCAGTGCGGTAGGGGAAGAGACGGTAAAAAGGGACCGACTCGTCAAAGGTGACATCCTGAGAGGCGAAGACCCGGCGCGAGGTGGGGTGGTAAAACTGCCAGCCAGGCGCGTCAGGGACAAAGCCAAGGAAGACACAGGGAAGCGTGCGGGAGGAGAGCTTGTCCGCAGACGTATCGCGGACAAGGGCACGAGCACCCCACACCCGGAAGCGCGACGCATCGCCAACCTCCCCCGTCCAACGCAGTGTGGGCGAGGTCTCCGGCAAGGAGACACGGGGCCAGAGGTTGAGCTGATGCGCGGCGTACCGGACAGCAAACGGCCACAGAAAATGGGGAGCCGCCG